TATGTATATGTATATATTTATATTTTGGAAGCAGGAGTGGCATCCACTTCCTCAACAACTTGTCTCTGGAAACTCTATGAACTTTGATAAATGTCAATCGTTGTAGAGGGGCTTCAGGCCTTTTGTTCACAGGGTTGCTATGAGTAGTGCTCGACTCGAAGGCACTCAACAACAACATAGACACATATATACACACGTGTGTTTGGGTGGGAAGACAGTGAACGTATTGGTTATTTCTGTAAGGGAAATGTCTTTCATCTGCTCAGTAAAATGTTTGTTCATCAGAGACTGTTCTAAAACTTAAGTGTCCTAGGGAGCTGTGGTGGCCTAGTGGCAAAAAGCTGCACTGCAGTCCCAGAGGTATGCCGTTCAAATCCACCAGATGCTCTGCTGGAGAAGGAACAATCTCCTCCTGTACCAGTCAGATCTGATTTGATGATACACACACACAAAAGAATAAAATTTTAAAAACAAAAAAAAACCTAAGTGTCCAAATTAAGACAGATTAGGAAGAAGGATTGGCCGCCCACTTTCAGTATATAATAAGCCTTCAAAAACCCTGTGTACAGCAAAGCACACTTAGGCTGAGCCCTCAAATTTGGAAACACAAAGGATACAGTGACTGGGTCAGTGTGTCGGAATTACTGTTGGAATCAGGACAGGGCAGGGTCGCTGTGGGTCACAGGCGACTCGACAGCACATAAAAACAACATGTATACATGTATGACAGCTATCGACATTTATCAAAGATCATAGGGTTTCTGGAGGCATGTTATTTAGGAAGTGGATGCTATGTATATATATACATATACATATGCATATACATATACATATATATAGTTCTTGTCAAATGCCATCAAGCCAAGCACTTTGCCCTTCTCCTGGGGGCATCCCATTCAGAAATCATAATTGAAAACTGTAGTGCAAAAAAAAAACAAAAACACAAAAATCAAAACTGTAGTGCATTTGTCTGAACACAGGAGCAAGAGGCTTAGTAGATCTGAACTTACTGCTGGGCTCAGGTTCCTCCCTCCACTCCTGGGTCCTCAGGAAGTTAAGTGGGACAGCGGTCACGTGCCCAGGACGCTAACTACAGTCGTTGTGGTGTGGGTTTTGGGTGGTACCGTCTGATTTTGTTGGTCAGGGATGACCACTTGGCAGATAGGCCAGGCCTCGAGCTTTTCTTGGTCCAGGAGGCCTGGGCATCTCTGCCTCCTGGCTCCCTGTCTGCTGCCTGGGTCCCCTCGGAAGCTGGGGACCCATTCCTTTCTGCTCCCCGCCCCCTGGATTGACAGTCCACAGGGTGGGTCTGCCCCCTGACAGACAGCTTTCACAGACACGGCTCTCCTCTCTCCTCAGGCTCAGCTGCACAGGCGGCAAGAGGCGGACAGTCCAGGAGACACCCCCACTCGGGCCCCCCAGCCCAAGACGCCCAAGTCCCCCTTCCAGCTGGGCAGCCGTGTGCTGCCCTCCAGCGTGGACCGGGATGAGAGGTGAGGGGTCACGGGATCGAGGGTCCGTCTCTGCCACATTCGGATGTGCTCGCATGGGGGTCAGGGCCGAACGGCCTGAGAGCTTTTTTTTTTCTACCGTCCAGCCGCATATTTCATGAAATAAACACAGGACACTGTGATACCGAAAACATACAGAGACGAGGCCGGAGATTCTTTTGTCCTCCTGCTCCTGTCTGTCCAAAAGGCCAGCGTTCCACTGTTGGAAAGACTAGCTTTCAAGACTGATAAAAAAAAAAATTAGCATCCTCCCTCCCCTCACCCTTTTGGGCAGTAACTTTGTTTTGAGGGCCTCTCCCAGGAGACTGGAGCAAAGGACGCAGCCAGGATCGACCAGCTGCGTCCACCTGCTCAGCTTGGAGGTGGACACAGAGTGTCTGGCCTCCATGGACCCTCAAGACAGATCATTCTGGGTGTAGCAGATCACCCACAATGCCCAGGGAGCTCTGGGCAAGGCTTCTGCAGGTTTATGGACCCAGGAATTAGGAGAGAGACCAAGGCCAGGAGTGAAAATATGTTGAGTGCTATGTCAGAGTGGGGAGTGGTAATTTCAGACCTCTCCGCTTCTCCCCGATAAGGAGGCTTCAGCAGAGACACCCAAGCAAGGTGGTCCCCCATGCAAAAGATGTCCTATATAGAGACACCTGGGCTAAAAACAGATGTGGAAAGACACGGCTGGACAGAGGCTGAGCCTTCACCTGCAGCGCCCTCTAGAGACAAGTGGTTTTTTTTACTTCTTAAGGACTGTTAAAAGGGAGCCCTGGTCACCTAGTGGTAAAGAGCTGCGCTGCCAACCCAAAGGTGCACGGTTCGAATCCACCAGCTGCTCTGCAGCGAAAAGGATAGGCAGTCTCCTTCCATATGATCTTTCTCCAGCCTCTGAAAACCCTCTGGAGGGTCAGCTACGGGTCAGTTCTGACTCGACGTCACACAACAACAAGAAGGAGTATTAAGAGTCCTTCAGTCTGTTTGAGCAGCTGCCCGTGTGACAGCCCGGAGCCGTCCTCCTATCTTGGGCATCACACAGCCTGTCAGCTTGCTCCCGTGAGCGCCCTGGCCGCTGCTGTGCCCTGCCGGCCCCCCGGACCTGGGGGAGCCCCCGGCCCAGCCAGGACTCACCTCCCTCCATCTGTGATTTCAGATTGGATGAGCCCTCTCCCCAGTGGTTAAAGGAACTGAAATCCAAAAAGAGGCGAAGCCTGTATGAGAACCAAGCCTGACAAGGTACCAGGGGCCCCAGGGGAGGGGAGGCTGGGAAGAGGCTCTGGGGCCCAGGGCAGAGCCAGTCACGTGGGACAGAACTTGAGATTGAACTTGACAGAGGCTGCAGGAAGCAGACGTGGTGTCCTGGTGCCTGGGAAGAGAAGGGTGGCAGTCTGTGTCGGGGAAGTAGTACCATAGCCGGTGTGTTGTTAGGTGCCTTCTAGACTGTTCTGACTCATAGTGAGCCCAGGTCGGCTGGAGGAAGCACCGCATGGTTCTGCCCCCTTCTGTGGTCCCGGAGTCAGGCCACCTCGGTGAGGGTCTTCCTCTCTCCCACTGGTTTCACTTTAGCAGCTGTGATGTCCTGGTGGCGACCTGGACGGGCACTCAACTGCTGATTGGAAATGTCGGCGGCTGGAGCCCCCCAGTGCATGAGACATGGCAGCAGTCTGCCTTACGTAACGATTCCAGTCCTGGGGAGCCTGTGTGGCTGTTCTCCTCTGACCAGCGGCGTCGCTTTGAGTTAGAATTGACTCAGTGACAGTGACTTCGGAGAGTCAGAGAACCTACAGGCTGTTCTCATGGACTTGGCTGACCTGCCTGCAGCTCAACACCGGTCTTTAAGATGAGATGAGGAGATGCCAGGGGCTTTTGCTTTTTATCTTTGTCGTTATTGTTGCAGAGAGCCCTGGTGGTACAGTGAATTAAGGGTTAGGCTGAAAACGGGAAGGTTAGAAGTTTGAAGCCACCAGCGGTCTCCTGGGGCAGAGATGAAGCTTTCTGTTCCCGTAAAGATCTTGCAAACACTGTGGGACACGCCTCCCTTAGCCGACAGGGTCTAAATCACCTCAGCAACTGTGAGAACAAACCTTTGAGTCAGAGCTGCGCCTCCAGCAGGTTTTCAGAGGCTTTAAGTCACAGGGGAGGAGATGGCCCATTCCCCCCCCCCACCCCACCCTCAGGAGCAGCTGGTGGATTTGAACAGCCTCCCTTTGGGTTGGCAGCACAAGCCCTCAACCACTAGGCCACCAGAGCTCTGTCACTACCAGAAACCATATATGCATGTCTATGCTGTAGCAGCATTGTGTGTTTCAAGCACTAGGCTGTTAATGGAAGGTTGGCGGTTCAAATCCACCAGCCACTGGGCAGGTGAATGATGTGGCAATTGGCCCCCCACATTGACTTTCCGCCTCACATACCCTGTGGGGTATTTCTACTCTGTCCCCATGAAATCACTGTGAGTCAAAATTGACTTGATGGGGTCGTCCAATCAGAAACTGACCCGTAGCTGGTGCTCCAGTGGGTTCTCAGAGGCAGCAAATCGCATGAACGGAGACTTCCCCTCTGTCTTCCACGGGGCATCCGGTAGATTCGAACTGTGAACCTTTGCGTTGACAGCACAATTCCTTAGCGCTAAGGCCTAGTGGCAAGAGGCTGCGCTGCAGTCCCAAAGGCATGCGGTTCGAATCCACCAGCTGCTCTGTGGGAGAAGGATGGGCGGTGTCCTCCTGTGCGATTAACCTGCCTCTGAAGACCCACCGGAGGGTCCGCTTCTGACTCAGCGGTACACAACGACAGCGAGAAGCCTCCAGAGCCCCCGTAGCCGTTGAATCATTGATATGGTATATAATAAACATTGTCAGTGTGTCAGTATTTAAAAATTTATATTGTGCATATAGGTTTGTATCTCAGAATTCAAACTCATTGCTCTTGAGTCAGGACGGACTGACAGCTGACCCTCCCGTGGGTTTGCTGGAGGCTGTAAACGGCGCAGGTGATTTCCCATCCTTCTCTCACAAAGCCACCGGTGGATTCGAACTGTCAGAGGCACCCTCTGGGGTTAGCAGTGCAGTTCCGTACAGACAAAGGCGTCAGGCCCACCCTGTAAATTTATCTATTTTTGTAGAAACGGAGGCTCAGGACGGGGACTAGAACCCTGGGCTGACCCTGAATTTCCTGTTTTCTAGCATGTCGAGGTGACAGATAGAGAAGCTCTGGTATATTCACACAATGGAATACTACGCTGCATTGAAAAACAAGGAACTCATGTGATATTATTCAAAATGGGGGAATCTGGAGGACATGATGCTGAGTGAACTATCTCAGTCACAAAAGGACCGATACTGCATAGTGCCACTGTTGTAGAATGGGACTGACATCAGGGTTGGGGGGAGACTGAGAAAAATTGGATAAATTATGTAGACTGCATTGAAACAGATGAGGGAGAGAACAGTTTAAAAGCAATATATGATAGGGTATTATAGTTATCACAAGAGTCCAGAATGAAGGTTGCATAGTGGAGTGTACTCGGGGTGGGGGGATTGTATACCAATGAAGGAATTTTTCTTTTACTTTTCAAAGAGAAGAGTGAACTGGGGGGGAGGGGTGGACAGGGAGAAAAATGCAACAGTGAATGAATGAAAAGCCAAAGTCTCTGTAAACGTTCATTTAAATTAATAAAATAAAATTTTAAAAACAAAGACAAAAACACAACCCACTCTGTGGCCCTCAGGCACCAGGGATCTTGGGAGATGTCAGAAGAGGTTCCGAGACCAAACAGTAGCGGGGGCTGGGGCCCCGGGTTCCTGCCGCTCACCGCAGCCCTGTCCCTTCCTGTCTAGGTTGGGGACACCACCCATGCCTAATCAACAGAAGCCTTAACTGTCAGACGCTGAAGAAAGACAACGCTGGTCACCATCCCTTCCCGCACAGCGGTCACGTGCCTGGGCCTGCCTGCACCCCCACAGGCCCCTCGGAAACGGAGGACACCCCCACCCCACCCAGCTTCCTGACAGCATTTCAGGCCGGGAGCCAAGCCACGCTTCCCAAGAAACAGCCACGCTGGTGATTTTTGGATTTTTGTTTTCACGTGAACATTTTTCCTCTCTACCCACTTGGTGATACCCTCAGAGACACCAAGACCACCGCCTGTCTGAGGCCAGACCTCTCCTCCGGGTTCTGAACAACGCCTGGCATCTCTTTCCCTGCATCCTGGGGGCTGCCTTCTCTTGAAAGGACGTCTCCAGGAAAGTTGAGCCCTTGGCCCACGTCAACACACTGGACGGGAGCTTCCACACAGGCCTGTTTTCCCCTCATTTCCAAGCACACCCGCTCACTTCTTCCCTGGTTGCCCGTCCTTCTGGGGTCCTGCGTGGGTCCAGGGTGATCTCTATCATTCTTTCTCTCCTTGGCTTGCTTCGATGGCGGTAAAGCAATAATTTAGCCAATTTTCAGACGTGAGCTGTTTTGATGTTCAAGGACGACAAGAGGAGAGCTAGGGAGTAAGTTTTATTTTTAAAATGGTTTGTGGGGATGTTTTATTTGTTTTGTTTTGTTTTTAAAAAGCATCTATTCACCTCAGGTTTTCTGCCTTTCTAAGCTTTTAAAAAAACAGTTTTCACGGTCATTCTTGTGTAGATCTTTCTGACGTCCCTTCAGTTGAATGCTGTTTCCTGTGGGGTGGCCTCTGTCCCTTGACCTTGGGGTTCACGGGACTCTTGACCAGATAGTGGAGCCCCTGACAGTTCGAAACCAGACCCTCCCAGAGAATCCCTCTCTATTTGCCCCCCACCCCAAGTCTATTTTTTTTTAGCTGCTGGCGAGGAGAAAGGCCCTTTCACATGGGAACGAGCAGAAACGCCTGCCTGAGGGGCCGTCTTCTTTCTTCCCACCTCCCGCTTCTCCGTCTCCCAGCTCCACCTGCTCCCCTTGGCCCTGATGACAGTTGGCGTGACCTTGCTCCCCTTAAGACGAGACCTCCCCAGGCCGGGGGCTCCCAGCCAGACGTGCTGGGTGCTGGGCAGTGGAAGGATCAGGCAGCATGACCGTTTCTTTCTTGCTAGCTCTCAGCTCGTTCCCAGGCCCCTTGCAAACCACTCTCCCCTCTGCCCTTCTCTTTGGAAATTCTCAGCACCAGCTTCCTCCACATCGTAGCTCCGAGGTCCTAACCTGGAGCCTGGAGTTGCCATAAAAGTCTGTGCCAACCTTGACTGGGAGGCTCCCCAGGGGGAAAAACACGCTCACACATTTCCCGGGCAGCCCGTGACCCCCAGGGGCCTTCATGTGGGCTCCCGGGTGGATGACGTATGCATAGCACTGGCCACATTTGAATATAAGGAACAGTCTCTCTGGGTCAATTCCATTATTTACAAATGGTGTCAAACCTACCCGTCCCCTGGTCCATGACTCCAAATCTCCCACCTATGTCTTCCCATCTCTTCCTCTTCCCTGTTGGATGGAGCGAGTGGTGAGGGTTCCACCATTGTGATTCAGCACCACGGACAGTGGCCTGGGGGGCCTGCCCCCACCCTGAGTCCTGTTGGCTGAATTTTGGTACAAAAATAGGGATTTCAGGAACCAGATCCTGGCTCAGAGAGAGAGAGAGAGAGAGAAAGAGTGAGAGAGAGAGTGTGTGTGTGTGTGTGTGTGTGTGTGTGTGTGTTTAAGTAACTGGAAGTCTAATGAGTTTTTCAAAGGTTCTTTGATTAATGAGGAAGTCTGATTTATTTTGAAAGTTCCAGTCCATTTCTAGCAAGCATTCAGGTTGGTCAGTGGGATTTCTTCAAGGAGCCCCTGGTGATAAGAGGGGATTAGCCATTTGGCTGCTAACCCAGAAGTCAGCTGTTCGAAGCCACCAGCCGAAGATAAAGCGGTGTGCTCCCATAAACATTCGCCATCTTGAGAACCCTGAGAGGAGGCTGTGCACTTCTCTGCGGGGGTGCTGAGTCAGAATGAACTTGACCTCGGCAGGTGGGGGCGCTCACCCCTGGTGTTTCGGTCCTGACCTCTTTCTCTCATTGCTAATCTTCCTTTCCTTCAGACGGGAGGGGACATACTTGGGGCCAGCTCCAAGCAGCACCCGGGTCCCCACGCAGACTCAGAATTATTCATGAATGTCCGGCATTGATGAATTCACATCTTAGCCCACATAAACCTGACAGGAAGGGGAAAAAGAGAAAGAGCCCAAGAACACTCCAAAATGAGATTGGCCGGGAGCCCCCGACATAAACTCTTGACT